AATTTCGATTGAGTTGGTCTACTAATGTTTTTCCCGATTTTTCTTTGCGAGAGAGGCATCACAGCTGTCCTTGGTGTTGTTCAATATCTAACAAACGAGTATTATTCAGGATTTTACAGAAAGATAGCGGAGCAGAGGTGGGCAAGTCCTTTCAGCCAGCCGCCATTACCGGAACCCCACTTTTAAATTTCTATATCTTCAAATCACATTTCTGTCTAGGATTCATGAATGTTTATTATTTATTATATTTATGTTGATATCTGATGCAGTGAACAATGATCTTGAAGAAGCCTGTATCTCTACAGTTCTGCTGGGTGTGCTAATGACATGTGCCCAGACAGTGATGAAGAGGGTTGTTGGAGACAATGCCACGCTGCCCTGCCACCATCACTTCTGGGTTGGTGATCATCCCACTCTGGACATTGAGTGGCTGCTCCTCAAGCCAACCAACAGGCAGAGAGTGGTATGTGTCTCTCAATGCATGAGGTTCACTGCCCATTTTGGATAGACAACAACAAACCTACTGTTACCTGTTCTCTTCCATAGTCTCATAGTCATTTTTAAACTATTATTTTAGTAAAATATTATTTTTATTAATATTTTTTAATTGATATTTTAATATTTAAGTTACTTTGAATTTTTTCAGTTGCACAGGTTTTCTAGGCATCATGAAAAGTTTCACACAAAGGTTGTATGAGTTAAGTTGTAGTTATAGTCGTTTTTCTATATAAAACTATTTTAGCGATTTTGTAGTACATAAAAAAACTACAAAAGAGTGCATACCTTTTGCAAATGGAAAACAGCATTTATCCATAGCTGTTGCAATTAATGTATTTTGCATTGCCTTGTTAAATGCACAGACAGAAAATAAAGAGCATTTCAAAGATCTGTTCATAGCTAACAGTTCGCTATTCTATAATGCAAATTCTGCAATCAAATACATTAAAACCTGATATTTTTCCAGAACCTTCCTCACCAACATTTAAAAGGATTTCTTCCTCTCCACATGGTCTACCTGTCCACTACATTTCATGAAATTCAGTATGGTAGCTTTTGTGTAACCCTACTCCAGGCAATCAAACGAACAAGCAAAGAAATGGCAACATTGGGTCCTTGACATTGGTAGTATGCAAAGGCTCAACAAAGCAGTGTTTTATCAGCATCCTTCCATTTTTAAATAATTATTTTTTCAAATAATTAAAAACATATATATTAAAATTCTTAAGCACATATAGTTCGACTCTCTCTCTGATATATTTGCTCATTGTTGTAGATAAACTGGACATTGTTGTTCCTCTATATATGCATTATCTTGCATGACATGTTACAAAACCACTACCATTACTACCCACCTGTTTCACATCCTCCTACCAGGTGATTACCTACTTTTCTGGAAGAGTTTTTGACCCCAACGAAGGACAACGCGGTCGTGTAGCTTTTGCTGGAGAGTACTTAAAAGGCGACGCATCTCTGCTCATCAGTGACTTGTCACTCACAGACTCAGGAGAGTACAGCTGCAAAGTCAAGACTGGGCCACGGTACCACTGGAGTACCATCAGTCTCACAGTGCTAGGTAAGTAAAAGACAGCCCTTGGTTCACAGAAACTAGAGATATATAGGTAGAAGATACATAAAGTGCCATGAAATCCATAACCTATGAATTAGAGCAGTCGTTCTACAATAGTTTCAAGTTTTACTGTCATATAAAGATAAACAGCGTAAAATTCTTTGGCTCGTGCTCCTCAACAACAACAACAGCAACAACAACAACAACAACAACAACAACAATAATAATAATAATAATAATAATAATAATAATAATAATAACAACAACAAAATACTTAAGCATAAATAATAAGAGAATTTAAGACAGTTGTTTGGTATTTACATTTTTTGCAAAAATCTTGTGCAGTGAGGATTTAAAGTGGTTAAAGTGACACTGTGTAGAGTCTAGTAGCTATAGTGAGTGTGTAATGATGTGTGCAGAATGTCAGCAGTTCCAAAGCCAGATGGCTTGTGGGTAGAAACTATCCCTGTGTCTGGTATTGTGGGTCTGGATGCTC